AAAAAAAAAAAACATATGATTAAATGAACCTAATGTATACAAATTATTGATCTGATGAATGGTGAAAACTGCACACGGTTACACTTTTTGTCTAAATGTCCATTTTATTAATATGTGAAATCCAATGACAGAGAGTTAAACAACAGTGGATATTTAAATTTCTTTTTAGTTCTGATGGATGATCTCCTTGAAGCATCATTTTAAAAAAAAAGGCTGTATCTAAAGTTAGAAGTCCTAGATTAAGGCCCAGTGTTGCCTCTAACTGTGTAATGGGTTAGTCACTTAACCTTTCTAAATATGTCTCCATTGTTTTGCCTGCAAAATGAAGATGATTGTGACCTGCTTCACATGAAGTCCGTTCTCTCCTTTCCTCACTGGCAGAACCATCCCAGCTGATAAGAAGCACATTCAGTCTCTTTTTATCCTTTCATCTTTCAAGGCTGGACTTTTCTAATCAGCAAGTGTTAAGAGCCTCACATACTTCCCCAACAAAGAAAAACAGCCCGACTCCATAAAAGAGTATAATTAAACAGCCTACCTGGCACTGCAAATTTTGAAGATATTTTTGGGTACAGTATATTTCTTTGCTTTTTTTTTTTTAAAGTTTGGGTTGCTTTTTGCATCTCTTTTGTTATTCTTTTTCTTCTTTTGATCAAGATAAAATAAAGTGAAAATTGCACATTCCTCACTTTTAAACCTATGTACTAAATATGACCACTGTGGGTGTGTACTCTGTGTTTTAAGAACTTTATTTGTGCTTATTGTATTAGTTTGGGTAGGCAAATTGCTATAAGATATAGACAAACATACAAACGTGTAATAGCCCTAAGATGAGTGAAGTTTATTTCTTGCTCATGGAATAGTACAGGGTGGATAGCAGGGGGCAGAGCAGTTGCTGAGAGATCCAGGCACAGCTCTCGTCCAAACGCCAACCTGCTGTGCTCAATTACACACAGCTTTTCTTTCCATGTCCCCAGCTTTCTGGCAGCATAGCTAGCCTCCTCCTTCACACTCGGGCCATAATTGCCTAACTTAAAATTGTGTAATTCAGATTCATCCTCCGAGGCATGCTTGTAACTCATTCAAATTTGGACTCTTCTTTCACCCTTCTCTAGTTGAAGGTTCTTTGGTACTTACCTCCACCCCTCCTTTCTTCCTATTTTCAAAAAGGTTATACTAGCTGCATTTTCTTCCAACATCATCTCTCTCCATTTAGCTAAACCACTAGCAATCTATGACCATGCCACCTCTTCTTTGCTTCAGGAGAGATTTTTTAAAAGTCACTTGTGATCAAGTGTTGGGCTGTCTTTGTGCCTCAAAAAGCAGCTTCTTTTCCTGCTGTTTTCTTGAGGTATCTCTTGTTCATCTTTCTCTTTTTTTCCTCTTGCATTTTCCCCTAGAAGCCCATCTCCTCTTCTGTGCTTCCTCCTCTTTCCTTGTGGCCTCTCGCACTTCTTTCTTCTCTTCCAGCCTCCGTATAAGTTGCTTGCCTCATTTAGTCAATTCTTATGAGTGGCAGTGTTTTATTTCCCTTTTATTCTCTACCTTTTAAGCTGACTAAGGTGGGTTGCATTTCCTTTCATTGTGACATTCTCTTGGGCCACTCACTCAAGACTACTTGTTCAACAATACTCTCTTATGGAGCAATTTTCCAGACTAAAAACCACACTCAACGTCCAAACTCTAACTAGTTCACATTTGCTAGTCTCTGACAGAAGCTCAAACTCTCCTACCCAAATGGAAAACTCTGGCAAGTTTATTGTTCACCTTGAAAAGAGAGAGAATCACATCAGCAGAGACTGATAGGCTGGGCGTGGTGGCTCACGCCTGTAATCCTAGCACTCTGGGAGGCAGAGGCAGGAGGATTGCTTGAGCTCAGGAGTTCGAGACCAGCCTGAGCAAGAGCGAGACCCC